GAGAGAGAGAGAGAGAGAGAGAGAATGCAGGAGGAGAAGGAGAGGAGGAGGTGGTGGAGGAGGAGGAGGATGAAGGAAAGGACGAGGGCAGCAGGAGGTGCAGAAGAACCAGGGAGGTCCCCGAAGAGATCGTAGGTGTAGGATGAAATGCCGCAGGCGACTCCGAGGGACTGCAGGAAGAATAAGCAGGGCAAGGGGAGGGAGAAGCAGCAACAGAACGGCATGAGAGAATGTAGCAGGTAACAGGAGACACAAGGAGGCAGGAGGAGACAGGAGGAGGCAGGAGGAGACAGGAGGAGGCAGGAGGAGACAGGAGGAGGCAAACTTTCGTTACCTTTGTGAAGACGAGGACGTCTTTGTGCATCTCCTTGAGAAATTTCTCACTGGCTGACTCCCATGAAATTGGAAACTGAAAGAAACGATCAGATCAGGAGGAGACGGAGGTGACGGAGGAGGATGAGAAGAAAGAAGCTGTCTAGGAGAAGCGCAGGGTACGAACAGGTAGGAGAAGGGCAGGGTACGAACAGGTAGGAGAAGGGCAGGGTACGAACAGGCCCGTCTGGATTTCTCACCTTCCCTTGTCCAAGTTTTGCTCCTGAAGGTCGCGAGGGCAACGAGGAGTAGCGCCGGTAGACCTGAACCATGGTCTGCGACGAGGTAAGTGACAGGAGAGAAACAGGCAAGGAAGAGAGGAGGACAGGAGGACAGGAGGACAGGAGGAGAGAAGCAAGGAGCAAGGAGAGAAGGAGAGGAAGGAGAGTAGAGTAGAAAAGGGAAGATGTTACAAGACATGAGAGCGAAGAGAGCTTGTCAGAGGGGACGGGAGGAGAGGAGAGGAACGGACTTACCTCCTGCGCATTGACCTCGTCAATGATGAGGAAAGAACCGGTGCTCTCTGCTGTGAAGGCGTAGATGGCTGGCTGAGTCCCTGCCGTCCGCACAAAGTACGCATGCTGTAGAGAGAGTCAAATGGCATCTCGTGAAGAGAAGAGCAGGAGCAGGAGCAGGAGCAGGAGCAGGAGCAGGAGCAGGAGCAGGAGCAGGAGCAGGAGCAGGAGCAGGAGCAGGAGCAGGAGCAGGAGCAGGAGCAGGAGCAGGAGCAGGAGCAGGAGCAGGACGACGACGAGGAAGAGGAGGAGGAAGGGGAGGACGAGGACGAGGAGGAGGAGGAGGAGGAGGAGGAGGAGAAGCAGGAGAAGCAGGAGCATGGAACCTGGTAGCCTTCTTTGTGCGCTAGTTCCTTAATGTCTTGCCAGCAAGGGATGTCACTCATGATGACAGGAATGCCTGCAGGATAAAATCAAACCTCCTCCTTCCGCTCCCCTCCCTACTCCTCCTTTCTGTTCGCTCGCTCCTTTCGTTCTGCTCCCTCCCTTCCTCGCTCCTGGAAATGATTTCTCCCTCCTCCTCCTTCCCCCCTCCCCTTCTCTGTCCTCCTACCAAGACTGAGAGCCTCGCGAGGGATCTGACCCCACCCTTCACCCTGCAGGAAACAAAAACAGAAAGTGAGCAAAGCAGAACAGACACAACAAGTATCTCGTTGGCATCAAAACGTTTGTATAATGATAATCATCATCATCATCATCAGAAGCAGCATCTCCAGCAGCATTATCATCGTTGTCGTCGTTATCATAACCTTGGACAAAGCAATAACGCAGTCAGCAGACAGCCATAGATCAGCAAGTTCGCCTGCTTCCAGAGTGCCAGTGGAGGAAATAATGTTGGAGTACTGAAAGGAGGAGTCAGAGAAAACAAGAAAGAGGGAAGAAGAGAGCAAGGAGGAGGAGGAGGAGGAGGAGGAGGAGAAGGACAATGCAAAGGAGGGGGAGGAGGAAAAGGAAGAGGAGGAGGAGCGGAAGCAGCAGCATCATGCCTGTTTGAACGAGTCGAGGGAGGTAAACACGTTTGTATCTCCCCACTTGGCGTGGATTCGGAGAGTGACTTGACTGTTGTTTGCCCCGAAGGCTGCGATGAAGCTCTCCGCTGTTTCCACCACCTGTGGCACACAGTCAACCTCCTAGTGCTCCCCGTGCTACTCGTGCTACTCGTGCTCCCCCTGCTCCTCCCCCTGCTCCTGCCTCATCTCCCCACCCCCTTCTTTCCTGGTTTCCTTCCTCCTCCTCCCATATCTCCAACTCCTCCTCTCTCACCCCTTTGCGAGGTTGCATGTTGGCGATGAGCAGGAAGACGAACCCGTTCTTTGCAGGAGGTCGCTGGTAGAACAAGAGAATGAGGGAGCGAGCAGAGCATGCGGGCAGGAGAGAAGAACAGCTAGAAGAAGAAACGAAACAGACAGGAAGGGAGACAGAGGAGGAGAGTGACGGAATAGGAAGGGAAGCGAGAAGGCAGCAGGGAGCAGGGAGCAGGGAGCAGGGAGCAGGGAGCAGGGAGCAGGGGAGCAGGGGAGCAGGGGAGCAGGGAGCAGGGAGCAGAGAGGTGAGGGGAGGGAGGTGGTGGGGAGCAGGGGAGCAGGGGGGAAGGGAGC